ATAAGGGAACAAGCATTGTGTACGGGGAAAACTCCTGTTTTACTCTGTACTGAAGCCTGATTTGTTCACGTTTGTGTAGCTGCACAAACCAATGGCACTTTAGCCAGCCAGAAAGGGCGGAGCCGGCATTTATATAAGTCGGCTCACAGCGCCATTTCATCAGATCATTCGACTGAAGCGACAGTCATTGATTCACGTGCAGCTTATAGCATGGCAAGTGACACAACGCTCGTTCCCTTATCTCAGGGAACCGAGGTAACGTCAGTAACCGGAGTGTTCCCTTTCGAACGTTCACTTCACGTTGAACGCTTGCAAGTCACCCACTCGCTTAACCGATGCCAAGGCAAGGAGGAGGGCCGTTTTAAGCGATAAGGGCTGCAAATCGGCCGAACTGAGCAGCTCAAAGGGGGACCCTCTTAGGGCCCGCAGGACTATAGACAAGTCCCAAGACGGCACGGTCTGAGGGTGAGGAGGATTCAGCCTCCGTGCACCCTTCAGGAACTTAACAATCAGGTCGTTTCTGCCGATCGATCTGCCAGCTTCGAGAGAATGGTTCGCTGCGATAGTTGCTCAACAGCTCCAGCCAGGGATGCCAAATCATGCCTTTTGCGTGTGAGAGAAGGTTCCTCCTCAGCGGAATGGGACACGGGGCTGCTGCTGAGAGCTGCACTAGCTCTGGGAATCAGGCCTGGTTCCTCCAGAGTGGGGCCACTAGGAGGAGAGAGCACTTGGTCTCCCTGACCCGCCTGATGACCTGAGGAATCAGGACGATCGGGAGAAACGCGTATAGGCAAGCACTGGGCCAGTCGTGGGCCAGAGCATCTCGCTGTATCGAGAAATAAGTTGGGCAGGGAGAGTTGTCGTCTGAGGAGAAGAGGTCGACCTCTGCCTTACCGAAGACTTACCAGATTTTTTCAACCGTTTGAGGATGTAGCGCCCATTCGCCCGGGGCTACCTTGCCTCTGGACAGCATATCTGCGGCAAGGTTCAATCTGCCCGGCACATGAACCGTCCGTAACGAGAGGAGTTCCCTTCATGCCCAAAGGAGGAGGCGACGAGCCATCCTGTATAGAGTGCATGACCTGAGACCGCCTTGGTGATTGATGTAGGCCACCACCGTCATGCTGTCTGACCGGACTAAGACGTGGTGCCCCTTCAAGGTCGGTAGGAAGGTTTTCAGGGCTAAGAAAACCACCAGCATCTCTAGGCAGTTGATGTGCGGACGCCGCTCCGGGACTGACCAGGTGCCAACGCCGGATTGTCCTCCAACAGGGCGCCCACACCTGAGTTGGAAGCGTCTGTTGTGACTACCTTCCTCTTGGAGGTCAGCCCTAACCTCATTCCTGTTTGAAACAGGCGAGAGGACGTCCAGGGGGCCACAGCCTTGATACAGCGGTGGTCTATCCTGACAGAAAGCCGCCCCAGGTGCCAAGCGTGGGGTGGAACACGGGCTTTGAGCAAAAACTGGAGGGGCCGCATGTGAAGCAGGCCCAGAGGAATTACCGAGGCAGCGGCCATCATAAGGCCGAGTAACCTCTGAAAAACCTTCAGGGGATGCCTCGTCCCTGGCTTGAGTGATGCCGCTAATCGCTGAATGGTCAGGGATCGCTTCGGCGTAATCCATGCCTGCATTTGGACTGAGTCTAAGATTGTCCCCAGAAAGACAGCTCGCTGTCTGGGCAACAGGTGACTCTTGTGCAGGTTGATAACCAACCCGCTGTCTGGGCAACAGGTGACTCTTGTGCAGGTTGATAACCAACCCGGGGTGCTCTAAGTTACTGAGTAACAGCTCACTGTGAGCAGCCAACTCCCGTTCTGATCTGGCTATAACAAGCCAATCGTCGAGGTAGTTCAAAACGCGGATTCCCATCTGCCTCAGAGGGGAAAGAGCCACATCTATGCACTTCGTAAAAGTGCGCGGGGCGAGAGACAGTCCAAATGGAAGGACTGCATTTTGATAGGCCACTCCCTCGAACGCGAATCTCAAGAACGGTCTGTGACGGGGGGCTGTGTGGATGCGAAAGTATGCGTCTTTCAGATCCACTGTCAAAAAAACAGTCCTCAGGGCAACAGTGTGTGAGAATCTGTTTGATAGTTAACATCTTGAACGGCCGGTGCATAAGCGAGTGGTTCAGATGTCTCAGAACCAAGATGGGTCTGAGCCCGTCGTCTCTCTTTGGAACGAGGAAGTAGTGGCTGAAACAGCCTGACTCTCTGTTCGCTGGGGGCACTATTTCCACAGCACCTTTTGCAAGCAATGTCTGCACTTCTTGTCGGAGAACGAGCGCTTTGTTGTCCGAAACCGAAGTTTGCATAACACCTCTGATACGAGGTGGCCTGCAAGCGAACTGAAGCGAGTAACCTCGTTGGATTGCGTTTAGAACCCAACTCGACCCGTCCGGTATGGCTGCCCAGGTCGATAGCAAGAGGATCTATTTTGCGAATGAAGGCTCGCCGCGCCTGAATTTGCGAGTGAGAGAGTGTGAAGAGGAAATTTGCTCTTTGGTCCGCTACCACAGCAGTAAAATATTCGGGTCTGTACTGCACCTGTAGGGCGTGACCCGCAGAGAACAAAACCCCATCGCTCAGAGGTGTTTGGAGGGATGGAGGATGAAAGTGAGCTGTTTTTGACGGAGTTCCGGCCAAGATGAGAACTAATCCTCTCCTCTTCCTCTCTGTAAGGTTTGCTTTGCTAGACTCAATGCTCTCACAATGAGAGAAACCAGCCCCCGTGAGCGCAGCGTCAGAGTCGGCGTGGTCCAGATGCGTCTAGTCCGAAGCTGTCAATGATAATAATCATTGGTGTCAGCATTCTCTTTAATCCGCCTAAAAGATCAAACCGCTCATTAGATGAGGGGTGCTGATGATCCTCACGTGTAAACACACTGGCAGATCAAAGTGAAGCGTGCATCCGCCGAAAAGCCGCTCGTACAGACGAGGGCGCTAATCCTCACGTGTAAACACACTGGCAGATCACTGGTAGCTAGGAATTTTGCTCAGAAACTAGCTCTTTTAAGTGCCGGATGGTCACAGGGGAAGGCTTACCGCTTCTTCCACTGCCAGGGCTTTTCTACGGCGGCGAGCTGCAGGCTGAGCTTCTTCCTTCTTCGGCTTCTTGATTGCAGAGTCAGCGAAGAGATGATCCTCGTCGCTGAAGGAGAATGATCTGATGAAATGCCGCTGCGAGCCGACTTATATACACGTCGGCTCCGCCCTTTCTGGCGGGCTAAATCACCATTGGTTTGTACAGCTACACAAACGTGAACAAATCAGGCTTCAGTACAGAGTAAAACAGGAGTTTTCCCCATACACAACTTGAAGTGAACATTTGAAAGGGAACCAGGCTCAGTCGGGAGGCCAGTTCTCCTCTGGACAGACAAAACCAGCATGGTGTGATTGAACGAGTTATCTCTACATAGAGATCATCAAAGAAGGGGAGAGACCATCGCTGATGCTTTATCATCACAAGAGGAGCGTTCAGAGGCGGCGCTCTCTACTTTTATATCTGCAGAAGCAAGAGATGAGGCTTCCTTTGCCCGATCTGAAGAAATGCCACAGAGCACTTCGGAAGCGGGTGCAAGGACCACTTGATCTGGCGAGAACATGAGAGAAAGTGAAGGACCCGACTCTCGCGCCTCGATCTTAATGAGAAAGAGAAAGAAAGAAAGCAAACCTAGAGCAGAGCACCTTGATGGGAAACGCATTGCAGTGCTCACACATGAGACATGCTTACAGGCTAATTTTCCTAAGGAGTAATCTTCTCTCTCTTTTAACATGATTTGTGTACAAGGTTATTATAGTTTTAATTTAGTTTTGATTTTGTTTGTTAATTTCCAATTATTTAGTTCAGTTTTAGTTATTTTACAAAGTCTGTTTTTATTTTTATTTCTATTTCAGTTAACACAAAGGTATACTAATTGGCAGGGGACAACTTTTTGTATGTTGTTAAATTATTCCTTATTCAGTCCAGATTGCACATATGTCTTTGCAGTGTATCACTAGATTCACATACAGCATGGCAAAACAACACCAAGCACTAATGTTTTTTTGCAAATATTTAATCTTTTACAGGGATAGTTCCCCCAAAAATGACAATACTGTCATCATTTACTCACCCTCATGTTATTCCAAACCTGCATTACTTTATGAAACACAAGATATTTTGGAAGATATTTTGAAATCATGGAACTCTTGGGAGAGCCTGGCCTGGCCTTATTGCTGCTAGCCGCTATATTTTTTACATTTGTTTTAGTTAGTTTTGAAGCAATGCATGATGGTTTCAGTTTAGTTTTTTGTTTAGTTATTTTGTTTATTTGTTTGTTTTACTTTTTCATTGGATTTTTTTTTGTTCAGTTAACTATAATAACCTATTTTGTAACATCCTTAATAAGATAAGTCATCCAGTGTTTTATTATTATTATTATTATTATTATTATTTCTCTGTTCACCAGTTGGTGGATAGAGTAAGCATATCATTCTAATTAAGTGGCTGAAGAAAGTAAATGATTTTATTATTGTCACTTTTTTTCTTGGTTTTGACTACATTTATAAATTAGTTCTATATCATAAGACATGATGTTTTGTGATGATGTTGGCGTGTGTGTGTGTACTGGTATTCACTATGTTATGGGGACCAAATGTCCCCACAAGTATAATAATACCAGTAAATTTTGACCTTGTGAGGACATTTTTAGGTCCCCATGAGGAAGCAAGCTCATAAATCATACAGAATGAAGTGTTTTGAAAATCTAAAAATGCAGAAAGATTCCTCTGAGGGGTAGGTTGTAATAATAATAATAATTATTATGATTATTATTACTATAATAATAATAATTATTATTATTATTATTATTATTATTACATGCATACTTCTCATTTAATTGTGATACAATTGTGATCTTACAGAGATATTATTTGTAAATCTTCTGTCTTGTGGAATAAAACTAAAATACAGTATGTCAGAGATTTAATAATAGAAGCATTTGGAATAGCTCTCTGACCTTTTGGCTGTCAGAATCACTGAAGGTCAAGCCGAAATAGTCCTTCTCCAACAAGTTTAGATGTTCACACACCAGATCCAGGAGAACCTGCCCCTTACACTGTTTCTGCAAAAATAACAAAAAAACAAATGTGGTAGGGGTAAAACATACAAATAAATTATGCAGTTAGCAGACAGTGCAAACAATAACTGATGTTTTGACACTGGTTTATTTGATGGTTTGTTCCAAATCAGAATAATTCCACCCTCCTTGTTACATATGTTTTCTTACAAAAATATATAAGTATTTCTACAAAAAATTTACAACAATAACATTAACAACAGCAAAATGTCCACATATTCTATTTTCCCCAGGTTTCCAATGACTGTGAGTACCCTGAATGTCTATATTTAATTTTATGATTCAGAGTAAATCAAAAATAATTTCTTCCAAGCAAAGTTACAAAGTATGTTCTTATATGATTAACTCCTAGGTACAGTCTTAGATTTGACTGAAAGTCACAAAATGCAAAACATTGTAGGTGCATTTTTTTAAAATGTTTTATAAGAATCTTGTAATGAATGTCATTTCAGTTTTACTTTCTGTGTATGAATTATCCCATATGCAGTAATAACAGAATGACAGAATAATATCCAATCACTGTAAAAGGTTTTGTCGCAAACTCAACTGACTGGTTTCTCTCCTGTATGATGGGTCTCTTCAGGCATTATAACTCTGCATGAACTATGCATGAGCTTCTAACTTATGATTAAAGCTGTTTGACCTATTACTACTAAACTCCACAAACGGAACATAAAAATATGGCTGTCAAGTGATTCAAATGTAAATCTAATTAATTACATCATGTGCCAGTTAATTATCTCATTAATTGCAAATTAATCGCACATGAATTTTGGCTCAGAAATTACCCCCCAAAACATCATTTGAAGTCATTATTGTGTTAGATGAGTAAAGCATTGCATAGACGCTCCAAAGATCAGCTTTAGAAAGAAATATTTTTTCATCATTGCATAAAAAATGATTTTTAAAAATGGGTATTAATACCCATGACTTAAACAGAGTCAGTTATGTCACGATTATTGTCACGATCTCCAGCTGGAGTGTCCATGAACTCCACTAGAGGGCACTCCACCCCTGACTCACAGACTACAGTTCCCAAAATCATTTGCCAGACTCATCATCACTTATTGCATTCACCTGTCTTGTCCATCAGTCTCACCCTATTTAAAGCCTGGTTTTTCACTTATTCATTGCTCAGTATTGTCTAACCTGTAGCATTCCTGTGTTTCTGACTCTGGACTGTTTCCTTGTTTCTGGTTGTTTGCTGCCTGCCCTGACCTTCGCCTGTTTATTGGACTACTCTTTTGTCTCACCCTGGATTGTACCTGTTTGCTGTTGTTTGACCCTGCCTGTTTTGACCACTCTTTGGAATAAAGCCTGCACTTGGATCCACTACTGCGTTGTCACGCCTCCCCATGTTACAAACATAAATAGTTAAATCAAATGCTTGTCAGTACATTAGATCTGTGCATTCAGTCTCAAAATGACAGGAGCCTAATAAACCTGCTGCTGTCTCTGTCAATTAATGTTCATCAAACAACAAAAGAACATGAGAGAATCATTCACTCTTCTTCACTAAATAAATCTGGTAACTTAGAATCAATGTATATTTAATTCATAGTAAAGATGCAGTGTTTTATTTTTACTTTAATACATTTCTGTATAGTTGTCAGGTCTCTCCCCTGACAGCTAGTTCTGTCTGTCCTGTCATTGTTTAATGTTTCTCTGTCCATGTTGTGTTTAAGCACATGGCTCTGTCTTTGTTAGTGTTTGCCGTGTGCTCCTCTTGCCCTGCCTCCTTGTTACCAATTACCACACCCCCTTGTTTAGTCCTCGTTTGTCTGAGTGTTGTCACCTGTTCCTCATGTTTTCGCTCTCTTTATATTGTGCTGGCTTGTTTTGCTAGTTCATCTGACTATATACTGTGCTCTCCCTTGTCACAATAGTTTGTAGTAATGCAAAGTCTGATTCATTTCCGCGAACCGGTTCTTTTCGGACAGATCGGCTCATTGAACCGGTTCAAAAAGCCAATTCATCGGTTCCTGACGTCATCAAGCAATAACGTCTCTACACATTTCTTTTCTAACAACTCAGTGCCATGTTGTATCAATGAAAAATTGAAATAAGTAATTTGTGTCACCACATATTGAAACATTCAAAAAATAAAGTTATTTGTGTGAAAGCATATTGCTGATTATTGACATATAATTAACTTAAGTTAATGGTGTTTGTGGTCACAGTTTAATTTGCGGATCCTTTATGTCAGATACGACTGACTGACCAATATTGACTAGCCTACAACTTGGATAAGATTCCTAAAAGTTTCACACCTACAGCACACATTACAGACATTGATGCACAAACG